TATATATATATATATATATATATATATATATTTTTTTTTTTTTTAATTGATGATGATAATATAGTAAGTTTGTTTGATAATCACCTTTTCAAAGAATTTAATTTTATCGCCACGCACCACTGTGCAGCCCCTTCAGAATACTCACGCACTAAACGTATTGATTCTTGAATAAAGTAGAGTCGGACACTATTCCTAGTGTATTTTTGACGCGTTCATCACCGTGATTCCAGCCTGGATGAGACTGAGAACGAAACTGAACCTCCTCCACTACTGCGGCCAGCATCATCCCCACCTACACCAGACAACACCTTCAGCTATGCTCGTTCTATCATCTACTTTCTTCTACAATGCGTAAAAATCATTATTATTCTCTTTTAATTCGTTTCAGTCAAAGCTTTTTCTTGCTTTAATCGATCCTTTCGTTAGATCTTTTTTTTTTTCTTTTTTCCTTTTTCGAATCTGATAACCAGTTTCCAATCTGTAAACTCGAGTGTTTACTTTTAATGGATTACACGATACGGTTAACGATATCTAATTCGATAGTCATGACGACAAATATAGGAAATTTTTTTTTTTACAGAAATAAATATTAGATAATTTGTAGGATATATAAGATATAGTTAACAATTATTATTGATCGCTTTATTAAATTTTTATGAATGTTGAACACAAAATGAACAGGTTAATTATTAATCGATCTCTTCGATTAATTCTATGATTGTAATTCTATAAACGTAAAATTAAAAATCTAGTGTTACATAAATCACAAACTGGTGGAAGCTTCTAAATCTTAAAAGCACTTTTATACACGGAATCGACTTTCAAGAATACCTTGACCTGATTCCCATCAACGCCAGAGAAGTTTAAAGTTGAATTTTCTATACCCAAGTGGTATAACTCAACGATATGTCATTCGAGTCGCAAATCGTGTTGCTACCCTCATCATTCATTGAATTGCATGGAACCTATATAGATATGCATGAATGTTTGATCGCATAACGACAGATCGTTAAATTCTTTCATGTTGCGATCTAATATCAAAATTATAATTATAAATTATCCCTTACGTATCAATTGAGAATGCAAATTAATTTATTGTTACTTATGGATAATTAAACTGCCCCGAAAAAAGAACGGATTAGTAATTAATATAATTTATTTTTGTTATTCTTTAATTTATCAAACGAGCTGTCAGTGAAATGATAAGAGTATCTTAAAAAAAAAAAAAATATGACACGTAAAACACGATGTGTAAAGTGAAATTCGTGACAACGCGTATTCAAATGTAAATTTGATTTGTATTGAAAGACTTGTTGCATGATGCATATAAACGATGTCGCTTGTTGCTTCATCGTAAGCCTGTCATCGTTGACAATGAAACAAACAGGGATAAATTATGTAAGATGGAGATAATAAACACATCGATCGATAATAGAATGAAATTATATGCAAAATGAAAGATCAATGCCTTACATCTTATTTGAGTGAATAAACCTAATTGAAAACATGCATATAAGATGATAATATTATAAATTTTTGATTTTTAAAAATGTACATATACTATATATTTGGATTTTTTCTATTAAAAATTGATTATTAATGATTTTTTAATCGCTAGAATGAATGTTTTCATTTTTATCGATTTGAATTTTTATTTATTATTAGCTTCAAAGATGGATAATATACAGAATAGATCTGTACATGAACATGTATTAAGTAGAAGAAGGACAAAAATAGTATAAAAATATTGAAATCAGCGCCATCTTCAGAGTACCGCAAATGAAACTTAGAAAGAAAGAATAGAAAATATTGGAAAAAGGATAGAGATAGAAGAATTAACTATTAGTGCCATCTATTGGCACAATATCAAACACTCTTTTAAAGATAAATAAGTAATCGATAAAGTAGAAAAAGAATTTACAATTAACGCCATCTTTTGAGTGTATATATTTTAAAAGAAAAATATTTCTTTGAAGAGATTTCTTTAACATTCGAGAGATAGCGCTAATAGTCACTTCTTATCCATCTCTATCCTTCTCTTATTATTTTCTTTCCTTCTTTCTTTTTGTGTTTCATTTACGGCACTCTAGAGATGGCGCTGATTTCACAATTTTTACTTTATTCTATCCTTTTTTCCACTCTTTCCTCTCTTTGTTTATACTTTACTATAAAATTTATACATCTGAGATACATAAGAGATAATCTCTAATTTATTTTATCTTTTTTACTTAACCTATTATCTAATTTATATAAAAAATTTCGATTTTCTATTCGATATAACTTTTATATGCCGTAAGTATATATATGCATCGTATATATATTTATTTATACATATTTTTTTATTATATATATATATTTTATATGTATATTAATTTCTTATATGCATAAGAAATATATACACACGTGTTTGGTATTAAATAAAATAAGAAAAAAAATTTTTTTTAAATTAGATTTATCCTATATTCTTCTTTATTAATAATAATATTATTGTTATCATTTAACAGTAAAATATAAAACTTTATTTTGCTGCGCTATGTAATATATATATTTTTTATAAATATTT